CCAACGCAGGGATTAAGCCTGGCCTTCGCTGCGAGACGTGCGGCTAATTCCGATTTTTCTCTTTGAGGTTTGGGGTCGGTTGGCTCACTGACTTGGAGACGACGCGGGAGAGCGTGGAAAAAAAATGAAATTAGAACAGAAAATAGAATAGATATTGGAATAAAGAATAGAGTAGAGTAGAGTAGAGTAGAGTAGAGTAGAATAGAATAGAGAATGGAATGGAATGGATATTGGAATGAAGAATAGGATAGAATAGAATAGAATAGAATAGAATAGAATAGAATAGAATAGAATAGAATAGAATAGAATAGAATAGAATAGAATAGAATTAAAAATAATAGAGTAGAGTAGAGTAGAATAGAATGCAATGCAATGCAATGCAATACAATACAATACAATACAATAGAGCTGGAAGGGACCTTGGAGGTCTTCTAGTCCAACCCCCTGCTCAGGCAGGAAACCCTATACCACTTCAGAGAAATGTTCATCCAGTCCCTTCTTAACAACTTCCAGTGTTGGAGAATTTACAACTTCTGGTGGCAAGCTGTTCCACTGGTTAATTGTCCTCACTGTCAGGAAGTTTCTCCTTAGTTCTAAGTTGCTTCTCTCCTAGGCTGAATCTCTCCTTGATCACTTTCCATCCATTATTCCTTGCCTGGCCTTTGGGTGTCTTCTGCTAGCTCTGCGCATGCTCACACTGGGAACAGGCTCCAGCTGCTCTTCTTCCCCACTGATTTTGGACTCCAAAGGCAGCTGATAACTGTCGGACGGCCCTGGGCCCCATCTCTGCCTCCGACGCAGAGCCTTCCCCAGACTCCAGGAACGGCCCAGGTTCCTCCCTAACCTCCTCACTGTCTGGCTCTGCTGCCAGCTTCCATCAGCTGCCGGTGGGTCTCAAGAGTATCTGATGTAGGTGACCGGCATTTAATTCTCTTTTTTTTTTGGGTGGGGGGCTCCATTCCAGAGCGCTGCGACGACTGGGGGGTCGACACCATGAAGCACAAGCCGGTGTACAGTGGGGAACCGGCCAAGATCAAGTGCCCGCTCTTTGTGGCTTTTGTGAAGTACAACTACAGCACTGCCCACTCGGCCGGCCTGACCCTCATCTGGTACTGGATCGGGCAGGGCCAGGACCTGGAGGAGCCCATCAACTTCCGCCATCCCGACAACCACATCAGCAAGGAGAAGGACATGCTCTGGTTCCGCCCAGCCCTGCTCAACGACACGGGGAACTACACCTGTATGCTCAGGTAAAGCGCCAGCAAAGTCTTCCTTCTCGGGCTCGCTTGGTGGGTGGGGACGGGCGATGACCTTGTGATGCTTCGGATTGGCGGCAGCCGCATCATTCGTTCGAGGCGGTTAAAGGAGAATGTTTGTAGCCCGGGGCTCGGCTCTGAACTGGGTGCTTTCCTTGCAGACGTTTCATGGGCCAACTAGGTAACAGCATCAGTGCTAGAGGTTGGTGGGATGTGCAGAGGAGGAGGAGGAGGAGGAGGAGGAGGAGGAGGAGGAAAAATACTGTGGGGTCCTGGGCGCTGTCTGAGCTTGGTGGTTGCCTTGCAGACGTTTCATGGGCCAACTAGGTAACAGCATCAGTGCTAGAGGTTGGTGAGGTGTGCAGAGGAGGAGGAGGAGGAGGAGGAGGAGGAGGAGGAGGAGGAGGAAGAAAAAGACTGTGGGGTCCTGGGTGCTCTCTGAGCTTGGTGGTTGCCTTGCAGACGTTTCATGAGCCAACGAGGTAACAGCATCAGCGTTATGAGGAAATGGGTTTCATGGGGAGGTGGAGGAGGAGGAGGACTGAGGGGGGTGGGTCTTTCGTGCTGCCTGTTGTGGCCTGCCAGCTGCCAATGGAGCTGGTGGCAGACTCAGACAGTGAGGAGGTTGGGGAGGAACATGGGCCATTCCTGGGGTCTAGGGAAGGCTCTGATGGATGCTCTGTATCGAAGGGCAGAGATGGGGCCAGGGCCGTCCGGTATTTCCCAGCTGCCTTCGGAGTTGGAGATAAGAAGTGGGGAGGAAGAGCAGCTGGAGCCTGTTCTAGATGTGCAAATGTGCAGAGCTGTCAGGAGAGGAGAACAACTAAGGAACAGGGGCTGACTCATAATAAAAGGCACAAGTGGACGCTGAATAGCCCCTCCCTGGAGACTAAATAGAGGCAAAAGAGGAGGAGAGGTTGCAGGAGACAATTAGTTCTGCTTATTATGATGATGATCTTGATGAAAATAAATCACCGGGGCCTGATGGATCACATCCCATAGTTTTAAAGGAGCTGGCAGAGGTCATCTCAGAACCACTGCACCATATCTTTCAAAAATCCTGGAGTACCAGGGAACTACCAGAGGACTGGAAAAGAGCTGATGTGGTTCCCATCTTCAAAAAAGGGGAAAAAACAGACCCAGGAAACTATAGAGCAATCAGCCTAACATTAATACCCGGGAAGATACGCCCCTTTGGGTCATCACAGGTAGCCAGGAGTTGGCGTGGGTCACTGAACCAGTAATAACTTCTGGCTGGCCACACCCACGACCCGGTCTCCCCTCCCCTCCCCTCCCCACCCAGTGGCTGGGGCATTCTGGGAGTTGAAGTCCTCCAGGCTTAAAGTTGCCAAGGTTGGAGACCCCTGACCTAGAATCTCCAGAGACATTAAGCGGAGACAATGCAAAGGGGAGTCAAACCGGTTTAGAAAGGGAGCGGAAAGGGCAAAGGCCGGGGAGTCTCCAGCACAGCCGATAGAAAATATTACTAAATTTGCAGATGATACAACAGTGGTGGGAGATGAGTCTGCCTACCGAGATGAGGTGGACCAACGGTTGCTTTCGTGGTGTGGAGACAATAACTTGGTCCTCAACACCATTAAGACCAAGGAGCTGATAGTGGACTATAGAAGGAAGCCCTTGTTTATCCATGGAGACCGAGGGGAGCAAGTGGCCAGTTTTAAGTTTCTGGGTGTCACCATCATAAAAGAGGACCTGACCTGGGGGGGCTCACATTGCAGCCCTGGTCAAAAGGGCCCAGCAGAGATTATATTACCTGTTACTTCTCAGGAAACAACAACTGAATGAGAAACTGCTGGTGACCTTCTACCGCTGCACCAGAGAGAGTATCTTAACTTCCTGCACCTCTGTATGGTTTGCCAATTGCACAGTGGCAGATAGGATGGCACTCCAGAGGGTTAAGGTCATTGGCCATAGGATCCTGGGCTGCCCTCTCCCCTCTTTGGAAGAGCTTTGCTGCCTCAAGAAAGTTCAAAACATCCTCAAAGATCCATCTCATCCTGGGAACCCTTTTTTTTTGAACTATGACCATCTGGCAGACGGTATAGGGGAATAAAAACATGGATAAATAGGCTGGAAAACAGCTTCTATCCCAGGGCAGGAGCTCTTTTGAATTCTGCCATATAGTTGGTGCAGTGTCAGGGGTTTTCGGTTCAATGTGTGGAGGGTGAAGGATGTGTGTTTGTGTTTATTTTCATGGTCACGGTGTGCACTGAAGATGGTGTTGGATTTCGTTTTACGAGGCGCACTGAGAATAAAGTAAACTAAAAACTAAACTAGAAGTGGAAATTCAAGAGAGGAAAGGCCAGAGAGGGGACCAATGTGGGCAACAACTGGAAGGAATATTTATACGGAAATGAGTTGTCGAAGGCTGCAATTGAAATGAAGGCAGTAAATCTGAGGGCTCCAGGGGAAAAGAAAAGTTGATTAAAAGAAGTCATACATGCGGTGAGGAGGTTGGGAAAAGGCTGCAAGTGAGGTGGCGGAATTGGAGTAAATGATAAAATTGGGGGGAGGCGTTCCTTATTGGAGAGGGGCCGTGTGGTTTATAAATAAATTTATTTATTTAAGGTTGTGTTCGTGCCACATCACAAGAAGCATCCCGTGTGTAACATTTCTCAATCCTTTTTCCGTGCAAAAACATGGTTTGTGAAGCCTTTTGGGGAAAGGCCTGGCTGAATTTTGCATCAAAGGATGCTGGAGGAGGTGTATGCACTTAATAAATAAAAATCAAAAAGAGGAAATTGGGAGTTTATGCACTGGATCTTATGGCCAAGCTGTGCAAATCTTTCTTTCTTTCTTTCTTTCTTTCTTTCTTTCTTTCTTTCTTTCTTTCTTTCTTTCTTTCTTTCTTTCTTCCTTCCTTCCTTCCTTCCTTCCTTCCTTCCTTCCTTCCTTCCTTCCTTCCTTCCTTCCTTCCTTCCTTCCTTCCTCCTAAGTGAAACAGTAAGACAGCGAGGGGGATCCCAGAAAAGCTGATCATCGGAACAGCTGATCGTCCTCTCCTTCCTTCCTCTTCTCCTTCCTTTCTCCTCTCCTTCCTTCTTCCTCCTCTCCTTCCTTCCTTCCTTCCTTCCTTCCTTCCTTCCTTCCTTCCTCCTAAGTGAAACAGTAAGACAGTGAGGGGGATCCCAGAAAAGCTGATCATCGGAACAGCTGATCGTCCTCTCCTTCCTTCCTCTTCTCCTTCCTTTCTCCTCTCCTTCTCCTTCCTTCCAACTCCTGGCTACCTGTGATGACCCAAAGGGGTGTGGCACAAACACAACAAAGTCACAAAAGTAGGTAAAGTCCCTTTAATGCCTCCAACTTGGCCTCCAATGTCCAGTTCATCGGCTGGAGAAAAAAACTCTCCCGAGAACAGATTTTAAAGGGAAGAAATTTAGTCCGACCCCAAAGCACATATAAATTATAAATAAAACCCAACACAAACCACACTGCAGCAATTAACGAGACAGGGCAGGATAAGGAATTGCAGAAGTCAAAAGATAACAAAACGCACACAGTTGGGAGGACGCAGGAACCCAGATAAGACTTGACAAACAAAGATAATTCACGCTTTGCTTCCAGCAAGGTGCTGTGTGCAAACACCCTTTTTCAATCCTGTTTTCCCAGCTGCAGCTAATGAAGGGGATCAGGGCCCTTTCCTCCCCCATAAATCACACAACTCATGTTGCTCCCTTCTCCGTTCCTCCCTGCATGCTCTAGGATGAAGAGGGGGTGGGCCTGGGATCTTCCTCTGAATGCCCTTCCCCAGTTTCCTCCACAGACACTGGAGCCACACTCCCACTCCCCGTCTCCCCCTCAGAATCAGACTCCAACAGGGGGCATGACACTACCGGTTCGCCTGAACCAGTGCGAACCGGCTGAATACCACCACTGGTTACGATGATGATTGATTGACTGATTGTTGCTTGATTGATTGAATGTATATGCCACCCATCTCATGGTTTGACGCGATGCTAGGTGGCTTATAGTCTAATACAGATAGTTCTCAACTTGCACCTGTTCGTTTAGTGACCGTTCAAACTTACGGCAGCACTAAAAAAAAGGGACTTATATGACCCTTTTCCCACTTACGACCATTGCAGCATCTCCATGGTCACCTGACCAAGATTCAGACACTTGGCAGCTGACTCGTATTTATGACGGTTGCAATGTCCCTCCGTCCCCTTTTGCGACCTCCGGACAGGGCAGAGTCCACGGGGAAGCCAGATTCACTTAACGACCATGTGCCTAACTTAACCACAGCAGGGATTCGCTTAACAACGGTGGCACAAAAGGTCACAGAAGGAGGTAGAATTCAGTTAACCGGCGTCTTGCTTAGCGATGGAAATCCGGGGCCTCCGTTGCGGTCGTAACTTCGAGGAGCCCCCTGGGAAAAGACACCACTAGTAAGAAGAGCGTTGGCTGTAAAGGCGGATTAAGAGGGTAAAGGATGGAGAGAACAAACCAAGGTTAGACAAGAGTTCGAAACACGCGTGTGGCTGATGCTTTCCTACGCACAGAAGGACGTGTTATCTGCTGCGATTTGCGGCCCGTGTTAGATGAAATGGATTTAAAAATTAACGTTTCGTGGACTGAGCTAATTGAGTTGGACAGACATCCGGGGGAGCGAAGGGTTGTGAGTTACACACCGACTACTAGAGCTACAGATTAATTGGCCCGCCTTGGTCGGATAGTCCCTTCTAATTATGGGGTGAAGTGGAGGGTGGGGAACATACTGGAGAGGGGCTGGGGCAGGGATGCCGAACCTTGGTTGTGGTGTGCCAAAAGCGCGTGGGCGTGCCAGCATCCACAATGCAATGCCCCCCCCCCCGCGCATGCGTGCGCAACACCCCCTGCCTCTTTACCTGCACTGTGCATGTGTGCGTCCCCCGGGCTGATTTTTGGCCCTTTGGACGCCGTTTCCTCCCTCCCGGAGGTTCCAGGGAAGCCTCTGCAGCCTCGGCAGGCCGAAAAACGAGCCCGTTTCGGCACTTACGGTATTTCCGGAAGGCCCTTTTTTCAGCTTGGCTGGGGCTCACGTGCCGTAGGTTCGCCATCACAGAGCGAGGGGCTGGTGGAGGAGGGGTGGGTGGTTGGATGGGAGGTGGCAGGAATGTTTATCGATGGAGCCAAAAAGGGGCTTTCTCCCCACTTTGTGATAGAGGTAGTCCTCGACTTGCGACCACAATGGAGCCCGTTGCTAAACAAGAGAGCGGTTAACTAAGGTTTTGATCCCTTTGATGACTTTTTGTGGCCCGGTTGTTAAGCGAATCGCTGTGGTCATTAAGTGAATCGGGCTCCCTCCCCCCGTTGACCTCGCTTGTCAGAGGGTCTCAAAAAGGGGGACTCACGTGACCGTTGCTGTTGCTAAGCAAACCTGTTGTTAAGTGAGTCGCACCCATTCTTGGGGGTGTTCTTGCCACGGTCGTTAAGTGAACCCAGCTTTCCCCCATTTACTTGGCTTGTCAGAGGGTCGCAAAAGGGGATCACATGACCATTTCTGTCACTTAAGTGAGTCGCACACCCATTTTTTGGTCTTTCTTGCCACCGTTGTTAAGCAAATCACTGCGGTCTTTAAGTGAATCCAGCTTTTCCCCTCCTTGACTTTGGCCTGTCAGAAGCCAGCTGGGAAGGTCACAAAAGGGGACCACGTGACCCCAGGAAGCCTCGGCCATCATCCAAATTTTGATCAGGTGACTGCAGGAGACGGTCGTAAGAGTGAGGACTCGTCCTCAATCACTTTTTGTTGTGACTTTGAACGCTCACTGACCAAATGGGTGTAAGTTGTGGGAGCTCCATCCCTGGAGGCTTTTGGTCAGAAATGGTGTAGGATCTCCTGATTGGGTGGGGTGTTGGACTAGATGATCTCCAAGTTCCCTTCCAACTCCGTTATTCTATAGTCAGTGGAACAGCTTTTCTTCAGAAGTTGTGGGAGCTTCATCCCTGGAGGCTTTCAAGAAGAGACTGGACTGCCCTCTGTCAGAAATGGTGTAGGGTCTCCTGCTTGGGTGGGGGGTTAGACTAGATGATCTCCAAGTTCCCTTCCAACTCCATTATTCTATAGTCAGTGGAACAGCTTTTCTTCAGAAGTTGTGGGAGCTTCATCCCTGGAGGCTTTCAAGAAGAGACTGGACTGCCAACTGTCAGAAATGGTGCAGGGTCTCCTGCTTGGGCGGAGGGTTGGACTAGATGACCTACCAGGTCCCTTCCAACCCTGTCCATCTGTTTCATCTGAGGGCCACCTGTCATGTGGAGAAAGAGAAAAAACAAGCTGGGGTCAAATTAATTTCCTTTTTCCACTTTCTCACTCCCTGATATGAATTTTACTAACTTCCTGTTGCTCGTTCTTTTTCCCATGCTCTTACCTTGGGCGGGGGGGGGGGGGGGGGTGGACTAGATGATCTACAAGGTCCCTTTCAACTCTGATGATCTGTTGGGAGGTGTGTTTGTGTGTTTCAGTGTGCATTTGCGAGTCTGTCCTCTGCAAACATAACTGTGGGATACAAAATAAACACAGTCACAAAAACAGGTGAAGCCCCTTTTATTCCTTCACTTTGTTCACAGGTCCAAATATCGTTGATTGGAGACAAAAAAAACTCCCCCACAAACAGTTACGAAAAGGAGAAAATGCCGTTTGAACTAAAAATGCCCATCAATTATAAAGAGCAAAAACAACACAAACCACACTGAAGCAATTAAGGGAACCAGGCAAGATAAGGGCTTGAAGACGTCCACAGATATCGAAATACACACTGGGAAGGATGCCCAACTCAGAGGAACGACAGACTGGAGATATTTCCATGCTTTGTTTCCAGCACTGGCTCATACGCATGTCCGTCCTTTTAACCAGTTCTCACAGCTGCAGCCCATGAAGGGGATCAGGGCCCTTTCCTTCCCCGTAGGAACGCCATTCACGTTTCTCCCTTATCCGTTCCTCCCTGTGTGCCCTAGGATGAAGAGGGGACGGGCCTGGGTCTTCCTCTGAATGCCCAGCCCGGCCTGTGCCCTTCCCCAGCCTCCTCCACAACCTCCGGAGTCACACTTCCACTCCCTGTCGGCTGTTCCTCCTCTCCCTCAGAATCAGTCTCCGCCAGGGCATGACAATAACATTCTCTAAAAGCCCTTTCCCCCCCCCACCCCCAAATTCCCCTTGCAGGATCTTGTGGCCTGAAGTTCCACCGGCTTCCTAGGGCGATATTTGCAGCTGTGGTGTGTGACCATTACTGCTGTGTCTCTTGGACCCGCAATGGCATCCTTTGGTGACTACCCCTTTTTTCCCGCCTTCCTTCCTCTCAGGAATGCCACTTACTGCAGCAAAATTGCCGTCCCCTTGGAGGTGGTCCACAAGGACCCCGGCTCCTGCCTCAGCCAAGCGGTCAAGCCAGAAGAAGTCCTCATGTACTACAGCAGAGTCAAGCAGAACCTCACCTGCCCGGATGTGGAGAGCTTCATCCCCACCGGCCTCGAGCCCCAGGTCCGCTGGTACAAGGTGAGTGAGCGGAGAAGGATCCGGGGGTCCTAGCAGCCTCTCTCGGGGGTGTGGTGGGAGACCAGTCTCCCCCCCCCCCGCCCTCCGGGCAGTGCTTGCAAGATTGGGGAGGGGGTAATCCAGTGGGGTGGGGGGGTCCTGGTGGGTTGGGACCTGCATGGATGGCTTCCGTTCTGACCTGGGCTTCCCAAGATGGCGAAGCCGATTCACAGCTGGATTTTCAGCCTGTTTGAGGCCTTTTCCTGCAGGCCGAATTGGCCCGTTTCGTCACTTCCTGCGGGGGCTTTTTTTTCAAGCCTCTGGGAGGCCGAGAAAGGCCTCAAACCAGCCGAAAATCACCTGTGAGGTGAAGTGCAGGTAAGGGGGGCGGTGGGAGGCGGCGGGGGCGGGATTGCACGTGGATGGATAGATGGATGGATGGATGGATGGATGGATGGATGGATGGATGGATAGAAAGATAGATAGATAGATAGATAGATAGATAGATAGATAGATAGATAGATAGATAGATAGATAGA